AAATATGAGAAATGTCACTACATATCAAATGCTTAAGCATTCAGGCATACTGACTTGCCACTACAAACATGTATATTGTATAAGAGTTGAGAATCCAATAGGTCTGGATGCAGGCATACAGACCTGGCTGAAAAATGCCAAATTAAATAATAACTTAGGTCTGCATGCACCAGGTTCATATGTAGGCATATAGACCTGAATATGCCACAATAAATGATATTGAAGGTTCTACATACACCAGATTTGTATGCAGGCATACAGACCTGATAAATACTAGTATTTGCATAGAGCGGGAGTTTAGCATACGCCAGGTCGGTATGCAGGCATACAGACCTGAATATGCCAAAATAAATGATATTGAAGGTTCTACATACACCAGATTTGTAAGCAGGCATAAAAACCTGACAAATACTAGTATTTGCATAGAGTGGGAGTTTAGCATATGCCAGGTCGGTATGCAGGCATACAGACTATAAGAAATGCCATTTATTATCCCAAATTAAAAGTTCAGCATACACCAGATCTGTATGCAGGCATACAGACATCAGATATGTAAATTTATTAGTTAGATGAGATTTCAACATACACCAGGTCCGTATGCAGGCATACAGACCTGACAAATACAAGTAAGAGAAAAATCACTGAATTTAGCATACTTTTCACTGAAACATCTGAAATAAAGATTGGTAAATGCTACATTTAATTGTATATTCAGCACTTGTGATGATCAATTGTTATCACACTTTCATTCTTTTCAGTCCTCTATCAAATAAAAAGGAGTATTAGTATACAATATATGCAGTTAAAGCAAAATAAAAATTAAACTTTCAGTTTTTATTTGACAAAGGACCGTGTGCATCCAAAAGACTGATAACCATTACATCGAGGTATAAATATAGATCTTAAAATTAATTGAACACAAAGCTTTTCAAGGTAACGTGGTCATCAGTCAATGTACTTGATTGAAGTTTGGAAATATATTGTAAATCGTCTAGATAAATGATGTTTAAGCAAGAGGTGTTATTTTCTTTAGATGTTTTTACATCATTGAAGGCATAAAATAAAATAAGAAAAATAATAAAAACGTAAATTTGAATTTAAAAATTTTATTGTTTGACGAATTGACCATATAAATCTCCATCATGCGGTGCATGCTATAGTATATAAACCACTAAAATACTGCATCTGCACACTTCATGCAACATCTCAAAAGGTAAGTTAAATATCTTGTATTTTATTTAAGATTCTACGTTTTTTTCTCAATCTTTTATTACAAAAGAATTGTAGCTAATTATATTAAGGTTTAATTATGGAAACGGGGCAAAATAAAAAGTAAGAAAAGAAAAAAATCGACCAAAAAATTAAAAAAAGTGAAAAGAGGGTGCTCATGGTGCTTAAATATAAAGAATATAGAATAATGGACAACAAATTAATAATAAAGAATAATGGGCAAATTATAAAGAATAGAGAATAATGGACAAATTATAAAGAATAGAGAGTAATAAACAAATTATAAAGAATAGAGAATAATGGACAAATATAAAGAATAGAGAATAATGGATAACAAATAAAGAATAGAGAATAATGGACAATAAATAAAGGAAAGAGAAAATGACCTAAAGAAAGAATAAGAAAGAGTTGTTTCTTCTATTTTTGTTAGGGCTACAAGTTTAAACTATTATTTTTAAATCTGGAAGATAACTAAGGAGGTTTTATCCTAATCAATTTTCAAAATGTGTCGTTTTACGAGACATTGGGACGAGTACATAACATGACTTTGAGGACTATACGTAGACCTCTTTACTTCAGTTCTATAGGCTAAGTTATCCAGTTGACGTTCACTCTACGAGAGTCTCGAAGGGGGTTTACAAAATAGAGAATAATGGACAAAAAAACAAAGATTAGAGAAAAATGGACCCAAAAAATAAAGAAAGGAGAATAATGGGGTGCTTAAATATAGAGAATAATGGGCAAAAACAATAAAGAATAGAGAAAAATGGCCTAAAAAGATAAATAATAAAGAAATGAAGGGCCCCATCCAGACCCTCCTCTATGTTCCTGTTTGATATATTGAAATTATTTTTCGAGGATTGTGTGCTTTTTTAATGATAAGAAATATTTATAAATATGGAGTGTTAACATTGCTTTCAAATTGAAAAAAAAGTAGAAATTTTTCTAGAAAGTGTTTTATTAAATGTTAAATTCATCAATTTTCCTAAACTATAAATTGTAATCAGAGCTTACAAATTCCTTCCCTCGCTCCCCCATTACAGGACATTTCAAATGATGACTACTTTGTTGATTGCGTATATGGTTCTTAGTCATTGTAGTTGAAATGCAGAATATCACAGTTAGGTCTGCGTTCCATCTTTTTCAAATCCATATGTCGGTTGAAAACTTAACTTTCTAGTAATTTTCTTTGTATTTGGTTGTTACTTACGACGAAGCCACTGAACTAAATGTTTAAAAGTTTTTTTTTCGAAGGTTAATGGACGCCAGTATACTTATGGACTACCTGTGACTACGATGTCAATGTATATGTTACATTTGTCATGGCTTAAATAACAATTTGTTGCCTTTTCATTATTCAATGGTTGTGTTGTTATCTACTAGTATTAGTCATATAACAATATTGCAAATTATTCGTCTTGAACAAATATTGTTTACCCTTCCTGAGCATTCGGGTTTTAACTGAAGGGGGGGGTGGGGGCATGATCCTTTCTGTTAAATGGGTTTTAGGCATTTTTAAATTTGTTTCAACTATTTGAAAATGTATGTGCTGTTAACTATTATTGACTAATTACCTGTTATCTGTTTTCTTAAATTTGACATTGTTGTTAACTGTTATTGTGTTGAAAATTCAAAATCCCTATCTTTTCAACCATTTTTTTTCAATTTTCACAACTTTCTAAATATTTAACGTTAAGTTTAACTTCATAGAAACCAGGTATATCATGAATTGTACATATATCATCTTTCTACATGCCAATTTTCAGCCAATGTTTAAAGTCTTGTAATGAAAAATGAGCGTTCGGAGACAACTACTAAAATAATCCCTAGTTTTCTTGAAATCTTAAATAAGTATACCATGGAGCGCATTGATCCTCAATTTTTTATGTAAACTCATGTACAAGTAAGTTTTAGCTCAATATGGTCGAATTACATTTCTCTTTCGCCAAAAGTTTCATTTCTGCTAATTTGTTGGTTAGTTTAAGTAAACAATGACATCAAAAGCACTATTTTTTGTCAGAGAAGGGCTACCTTTACATACGTTGGAGAAGGTGAATTGGTGGTCTTCTAAAACTATGTGTATTATATACTTGTTAAAATTCACAAGCATTAAATCTTCGGAGGTGTACGCATACGAGTTTTTTTTGCCAATCTAAATATGTCATCTACCTCTATGAGCTATACATCAGCAATGAAATTCAAATTCAAACCACCTGTTTTGAATTGTCAATTTGTAATTGTCTTGAATATTATTGCATGTATATATTTAACTGGAAAACGGATTTTAAACACTATCTCTTGATAATAGTGAAGACGAAAGGAAACTTTTAGACCTTTTCAATATCATTTAACGAATATGAATTTATAACTAATTTGCATATGACATTAAACAGACAGTAAAAGATTACCAAAGAACCTAAGTGCGGATCCAGGAATTTTGAAAAGGGGTGGGGGTTTATTCATAAAAAAATGTAAGATATACAAAGATACAAGATATATATAAAAACATTTGCACAATTTTATGCTAATAAATCATATAAATCGTGAGAAACACGATATTAGTTTTCTTGCGATTAAAAGAGGGGCGTACGCCCTCTTCGCCCCATCTTGGATCCGCCACTGGAATAAGACCAGTAATCTAATTTGAAAGGCCCTTAAACAGAGGATAATACTACATACGAACAATTAAAACTATACACGTTTGTATGTAGATTTCTCAAACAAGAATATTATAGATTGTAACAGTTCAACCTCAAATAACAAGACATTGAAGTTTACTGTTCTATACGAGACACAAAACCCAAACATCGAGAGCATGCAAATTAAAACACAACAAGGACGTTATTAGAGGAAGAAAGCAGTAGGACCAATTCCCATTGTATTTGTTTCACTCACAAGGTTAAATCTGAAACTGTTCAAATCCTACTTGAATTTGTATAAAAAAGGAGTGTATATTTTATATACTAAAAATATTAATTCATAATTTTACATAAATCCACAAATCAAAATGTCATTCAATGCTATTTTTTTTCTTAATTGATGCCGGGCATTTTGACGGAAATTTGCAAATATTACAGAAATCTGGTTATGGTTAATGATTTCCTTCTTATACATGTTTGAAAAAAACTCAAAAATCTGTCAAAATTGTGGTTTTTGGCTATCTTCAGGCGTTTATAATTTGATGATCTGATTAAAAATAAACCATGTCGGGCATAATTTTTTTTCGTAAATTGTTTTGTGATTAATTTGGCCGTTAATTTTCTCAATTGAATTGTTTCATATTATTTTATGTCGGCGCATTTTTTAGCCGACTATACGGTATGAGTTTCTCTCACTGTTGAAGGCCGTACGGTTGCCTATAATTGCTTAAATCCACTTCATTTGAACTTTAGTGGATAGTTGTCTCATTGGCAATCCTTATTTTTACATGATATTGTTAGTTACTCAAGGTACACTTTTTGGGCTGTGATACTATGAATTCAAGTAAAGATTGAAGACTATTGGCGGCTTTGACCCTATCTCTTTTTTTATTTTTAAATAGGAACAACCAAACGTATAGAGTAAATTATGCTTAAATTCTCCCTTCAATGAACATGATACGCGTGGAACAGTAAAATGCACCGAACGTCGCATTGACAAACAAGCCAATAATTAATTTAATGTACGCACCAGTTTCTATAATAATAGTATTTTAGATTCTGAGAAAAAGTCACAATTTACTGCTCTCTATATTTCACTTTTATTTATTTATCATGTTTATAATATTTTAGCTAAAAATGAAGCTCGAGGTTGTTCTAATTTTCCTTTTGTCAGCCATATGTGCAACTTCATTTGGTAGTTGTCATGGTAAAGGTTGTGGATATGGTGGAACTAGGGGAGGATATGGTGGATATGGTGGAAATAGGGGAGGATATGGTGGATATGGTGGAAGTAGGGGAGGATATGGTGGACATGGCGGATACGGTGGACATGGCAGCTATGGTTTAGAATATGTTGGATATGGTGGACATGGTGGAAATAGGGGAGGATATGGTGGATATGGTGGAAAAAGGGGAGGATATGGCGGATATGGTGGAAATAGTGGAGGATATGGTGGATATGGTGGAAAAAGGGGAGGATATGGCGGATAAGGTGGAAATAGGGGAGGATACGGTGGACATGGCAGCTATGGTTTAGAATATGTTGGATATGGTGGACATGGCGTGCATGGTGGAAAGACAGGTGCTTACTAATAAAAATTAAAGATATAAAGATCATCTTTTCTCGAAATGGTAAAACGGACATGAAATTAAATCATAATCCACATATATATTTCTGTAGATATACTGCAATAAAGATATAGCCGGCAGCTGTGTTTTGTATTTGCTTCAAACTAAAAAATATAACGTACACATTGTGTTTTACTTGTTTAGTTTTTGTCTACATGTAATTAAACAATCATGAGATAAAAGCTTAAAGCGAGAAAACAACTGACTTGTGCTGCCTCGAACATTTAATGAAATTGAGAATGGAAATGGGAAATGTGTCAAAGAGCCAACAACCCGACCAAAGAGCAGAAAACAGCCCAAGGCCTCCAATGGGCCTTCAACACAGCGAGAAAATCCCGCACCCGGAGGCGGGCTTCAGCTGGCCCCTAAACAAAAATGTGTACTAGTTCAGTGAAAACGGACGTCACACTAAACTTTGAAACATATAAATGAATTAAAATTTAAAAAATAGAAGACTAAAAAAGGCCAGAGGCTCCTGACTTGGGACAGGCGCAAAAAATGCGGCAGGGTTAAACATGTTAGTGAGATCTCAACCCTTTCTCTATATCTCTAGCCAATATAGAATAAACAAACACACAGCAATACGCACAGTAAAACTCAGTTTAAAAGAAGTCCGAGTCCGATGTCAGAATAGGTAACAGAGGAAACTAAGCAAAGTATTATATCGATTTGAGTTTAGTAGTCTAAAAAATGTTTGCCACTGTACGTTGTTAAACCTTTTTTTCTAAATGGAAACAGATATAAAGATTGCAGATGAATAACAGAAAATGCTATGTATAAGCCAACGACACAGATAAACAAAAAGACATCTAGAATCTGTTGAATACGTTGTGATTGATTGATTGATTGGTGTTTAACGCCACCCTAAACACTATTTTGCCATTTCGTGGCGGTCAGTTTTTATTGGTGAAGGAAGACGCAGTGCCCGGAGAGAATCACCGACCTTTGAAGGTAGGAAAACTGACAATCCTAGTCAATTAAGATTAGAGTCGAGTGCACCTGCCACTTGCGGGATTCGAACTCACAACCTCAGTGTTGACTGGCTAGTAATACAGTAGTTCGACTACTTAGACCCCTCGGCCACCGAGGCCCCTTGAATACGTTGTGAGATACGGTCAAACCAAAAACATATGGTTTGATGCGTTCGAGTCGCGATGTCTGAACATATCGATTTTTTTTTGGAGGGGGGGGGGGGGGGGGGGAGGGGTTGAAGTGACGACACAAAACTTTGTCATGAAGTGAATCAGACGTCGAGAAAAGGCATTGTCACCGTTTCGGAGTTTGCAAAACCATTTGCCTTGGCCTGAGTTGACTGTTGAAGTGAATATACCCCAGAGAGAAGCTAAGATACTGAAGTCATTTTGTACAGTAAAAATAATTAAAAAAGAAATTCGATAAAATCGATAGATTCAATTTCCAAACTTTTATAAAACATCTCACCGAAAAACTCGTAGATTTAAATTAAGAACTACAAACAATAAGGCATGATTTTTTTTCATGTTGATATATTGAGGGGTAATAGCTGCCGCATAATATTACGGTGTACATTCAGAACACTTGCTTTCCGATTGAGGCAACGTATACGTAATGTGACGATATTTCTGATTTTGATTACATTGTTTATGCATTGAGAACTCGTTGAACTGCATCTATATAAAGAGAAAAGATAATTATGTTACATTAATAATTTCAGAGATACAATCTATTAAAAAATTGTGAAATGAACATATGAAAATATGAAAATATTAGGTCACCGTGTTCGTATTTATTGTGTTAATTATTTTCAGGATGACCGATGTTTGAAAAAAAACTCGTAAAAAACGATTTTGCTGAGTGACACAGAAACGACGTTACGATAATTTTGTCGTTTTGACCTTTTTCACGCTTCATATCGATACTAGTTGGTTTCTTTTGAAAAACGAATACGGTTGATATTTTCATAATCTTTAAAATAGAAATGTTGACATTTACAAAATATAACTCTTCATCAAAATTCTACCTGTAGAATATACCTGTAGAATCTTTAAAGGGCTCATGTGTAAGGAATTTCAATCCTTTTTTAGCCCATCCAAATTCGTTCTTGTTCTAAAAACTAAACTCATAACAATCCTGCATTTTATGGGTCACTCTTGGTCGACGAATAATTAAAATTCTAAAATGGTTAATATTTAAAAAAGTTCAAATTCATCACTAGAACTGGTATTTAATTTCTTCCTGTGGACGAATTTAATTTCGAGAAACGCAATCTAACGTGGGGGATGCTCTTCTTGTGTAAATCACTACATTTACAAACCTTATTTCGATTTTCAGTCTGAGATGAAGTTCAACTAAAACTAAATGCACACAAAATTCCATCAATCGCCGAAATATCGCCTAATTACGTATACTTTGCCTTGAGTCGACGTATACGCTTACTTTTCAATAAGCGTATTTTGCTTTCGGATTTTGGTTGACGAAAAAGTAGGTGTACTGAGATAAGAACGGACCATGATGTAGCCTGGTGGTGTGTGGAATTCTCTGTTGTATCTCATGGGACACTTGGGCTATTAGCAAATGTAATCGGCATGCGGACCTTTTTTTGTATTGCTATGAGTTACAATTTATGACAAAAATCAGCAAAGACCCATCGAAACAACATCTGATACACAAATTTAATAATACTTTTAGATATTTGGATGATATTTTGGCTCTCAATAATGACGACTTCAGTATGTATACTAAAGAAATTTATCCTGTTGAACTTACTTTAAATAAAGCTAATACTAACAATGACCACTGCCCTTTCCTCGATCTTGATATCTATATCATTAATGGAAAGCTTAATACTAAAATATATGATAAAAGAGATGATTTTTCATTTCCTATCGTTAATTATCCATTTTTAGATGGTGACGTTCCCTTGTCACCATCTTACGGTGTTTATATATCTCAACTTGTACGATTCGCTCGTGTATGTAACAATGTTTTAGATTTTAACGAGAGAAATTTATGTATTACTGAAAAATTATTACACCAGGGTTTTCGATATCACAAACTAGTCAAAACATTTACTAAATTTTATCATCGGTATAAGGACATCATTCGTAAATATAGCTCAACATGCAGACTTCTTATACGTTCAGGTATTTCACATCCAATTTTTTATGGAAATATTCTTTATAAAGCACAAAAATGTCAGTATTCACCTCTGAAGCTAAAAAACCTTTAAATAGACTTATTAAGAAGGGATATAGTTACGATACTGTTGTCAGGTCATTAAAGATTGCATATTTTGGCGTTAATATTGATTCACTTATAGGGTCTTTGCATCGGCACTAAACACATTTATTTAAAAACCAGTTGTTGGCATGACACGGGTTATGTTCTTCTCATATATGTTAATAACATAACTTATGATGGTATGATACTAAACCCCTAACGGGAAGGATTGTGCCTGATATTCATATGATGAAGACATAATCTTTCAATCAGTTTAATTGAAGTCTTGAGCTTGCATGTCAGTTAACTGCTAGTAGTCTGTTGTTATTTATGTATTATTGTCATTTTGTTTATTTTCTTTGGTTACATCTTCTGACATCAGACTCGGACTTCTCTTGAACTGAATTTTAATGTGCGTATTGTTATGCGTTTACTTTTCTACATTGGCTAGAGGTATAGGGGGAGGGTTGAGATCTCATAAACATGTTTAACCCCGCCGCATTTTTGCGCCTGTCCCAAGTCAGGAGCCTCTAGCCTTTGTTAGTCTTGTATTATTTTTAATTTTAGTTTCTTGTGTACAATTTGGAGTTTAGTATGGCGTTCATTATCACTGAACTAGTATATATATTTGTTTAGAGGCCAGCTGAAGGACGCCTCCGGGTGCGGGAATTTCTCGCTGCATTGAAGACCTGTTAGTGACCTTCTGCTGTTGTCTGTTCTATGGTCGGATTGTTGTCTCTTTGACACATTCCCCATTTCCATTCTCAATTTTATGTCATTTTAAAGTGTTTTATCAAGTCGAAAACGGTGAACTTTGACCGAGTGAAAACTGTTTTTTCTCAAAAACCTGTCAAAAAAATTATCTCTAAAATTATGTTATTGTCACTAAAAATTCAGTTTTTTATTGATATGAAAATTGTAGAGGATGGCCTACTACCGAGTTTGTTTTTGTCGTATTAATCATCCAAGTATCTGTATATTTTAAAACGTCGAAAAATAAGATTTCGATGCACAATACATTTACGAACATTGTTGGGCTAAATTGGAGACGAATCATATAAATATGTTGATGTTATCCCTGTACAACCACGAGTTATCCGATGGAGAATGTCTGTCATAAAGTTCTCACATTTTTTGACGTATATATGTATAATATATATATAAGTGGTCTTTTTATTATAACAGTGGTCTTTTTCAATCTGGTTGATAGTTATCTCATTACGATCATATATATATATATTATTGCAATGAGGAGTAAAAAAGACCACGTGGATGTAAGGTCAATGTACGGCCTTCAACAATGAGAAACCCCCCATACCGTACAGCCAGTCATGAAAAGACCCGACATGACAAAATGTGAAATAATTCAAACGAGAAAACTAATATTACAGATATTAACCAAAGACAACCACTGAATTACAGGCTCCTGATTTGGGAGTTATAATCCTCGAACTTTTGTCTCTGGTGGATATTTGTCGCACTGGCAATTATATACTGCGGCACATTTCCTGATTTCTATGTTATGTAGTCAACAACACTGGAAAAATATCTTGATCTGGAATTGATATATTTTTTCAGCTTTGAGAAAGAGTCATGCTGGTTATAGCTACTATTAAAAATCGATTTATATCTGACATGAAGGAAAATTGTACTTTATAGTCCTACCTTAATTGTAAATTTTACAATTTCTTAGATCCCTAGGAATTGTTTTATATCGGTCTAATTCGACATCTAACTTTTTATCACGAATACGGAAGTTACAAATTTGAATAAAACTAACCAGCTTAAACCATCATCATTATATGCAAATCAAAATATATACAGAGGAACAAAAGTTAAGCAGCACATATTTTTAATTTTATATTAGAAAAACAAC